CAAAGGAACACATTTTAGTCCTTTTTACTTTTTATGCCTTGTTGATAGTGACAAGACTTGGCTTTGTCCACCGAGGATGAACTTGAAACAAGGAAAAAATGAGTTAGTTAGTCTTCATCTATGTGATTCCTAATCTTCTATTCGTTGTTCCCTAATAGAAGTGCTTAAGACTAGGGTTCTGATACATGGTCAATATCGGTGTCATTCCTTAATTTTGTTGTGAAGGAATCCAATTTTGACTGACAAAGGGGCGTGCCTTTGGAGGGTGTTTCAATACTCCGAAAGGTATAAATAGCGGGACCTTTCAATTAGAGTCGGATCCTTGAGATAAATGCAAGAATGACAGCTGTAAAAAAATCGAATACTTCATCATTTCTCAATATGGATGGAGTAATGCGACATGCACTAAACTAAGGACACGGGAAATACTACAATAGATCAAATTACTGGTCGCAGTGGTGTTAGGTCCCGAACAGTGGAACACAATTACAAGCTTCGTTCTGGTGTTCCGGAACTGAAAAGTGTTTGTGATGGCCATGCTAAGCAATATGGAGACATGTATGCGACAATGCAACAACAGTGCTGCATACATCTGCATACAGTTATTCGTCGCAAGAGTTTGAAACCAATTTCTGCACGGTTTCATGACGTGTACAATAAAAACTTTGCCGAAAATTATCAAAGGTCGGAAAGTATGCGTGCAATGTCATCTGGCGGTTAAAAAAAACATGTATAATGACCAGCCACCTGCAGGTAAAATTCATCTTGAATTATTCATTTCAATCCCAGCCGTACGAAAGCACGTCTATATTGTAGCGAAACTAGAACTTTTCGAGTTTTTCAAATTCACTCGTCATAGCTTACGCGAAGGTGAAGTCGTTGTAGTGGCAGATTTCTCTGAAAACTATTCTTTTGTTTTTTTAAGTGTACAGGAAATTCATTATAATGATTTGCTGGCAACCGTCCACACTTTTGATGCCTACACTGTACACCAGAATGAAGTTGTACCATTGAACTGCGTCATAATGTCCGATACTCTAGAGCACAGCACAACAACATTTCATGCTTTCCAGCGCCATTTTATAGAGTATCTCAAATCCTACGTATCACAGTTGTCCAAAATCTCGTACTTCTCCGATGGTGCGGTACACAGCAAAAAAAAATGTAATATCGATCAACGTAATTCAAGCTGATGTATGAAATAATGATGTAATAGCAAAGAGCAGATACAATATTACATCAATAGATGTAATTTTGTTCGCAAAATCGATGTACATCGTACAATGTGATATTACACAACCGATGGATTGACCTGGTTGCAGCAGTTTCGATGTAATATTCAACAACTTTTTTTGCTGTGTACCCTGGTTTTCCACGAAAGAAAATTTGGGGTGCCCACTGAGTGGCACTACTTTGTTACGGCACATGGCAAAGGACCAAGCGACGGATTGGGATGAACTTTGAAGAGATTGGCAACGCGAGCTAGTTTACAAGGAGCCACTATTCACACTCCAAAGGAGCTCTGACTGGGCAATGAAGAATTGCAATACAAACGTTAGATTTGTGTCATCTGAGATCTGTTCCGAAGAAAAACAAATACTGTTCCACCGTTTTGCATCAGCTGCATCTATTCCCGGTATTCGTTCAATTCATGCAGCAGCTCCTTCTGGTATTGATACCATTATTATGAAAACTGTTTCTGGTGCCACAACTGGTTCAGCTTTTAGAGTTGTGGCAACGAAACGTGCAAAGCAAGTAGATTCGAATAATAATGGGAAGAAATCATCACGAAGTGCTAGCCTTGAGAAAAAAAAAAATAAGTAAATTGTAATTTATGTTTTACATTGTTATAATAAAATGTAAGAAACAAATCGATCAGTGTTCGATACAACATTTTATTGGAATGTCTTAATTTATAATGCAATTCGTTTAGATTATTACTAGTGTAAAGTTTTCAGCCACTAAATAATATTTAAATTTGTCAACACTGCATAAAAACTATTATTGGTTTTATCATACCTATTTTGTTTCCATCAAGTATTATTTAACAAAGTAAGTCATGAGCAGCGCTGCCATTTATACAGATTTATCTGTATTATACAGATTTTTTAATCTTAATACAGACCCGATACAGAATACAGATTTATCACAGATTTTTAAATTACAATACAGATTTATACAGATTTTTATAAAATGCTTGAGAAAAAAAAATTCAAAATTTATAAAAACAAAATAACTTGCTCGATTTTATCAGCGTACCCCCTTCTCTCCAAAATTAATTGTTGTGCTAAAAACCATATTTTTTGCAGTGGGATCTGCTCGAGGCGTTGCTGTTTCTTTTATGCTTCTCTCACTCCCTTCAACGGAAAACGCAGTCACGCCCGTCACGGTAGTTTCGCATTGAAAATGTATTTCGTAAGAAATTGCGGATTTTCTGATATTCTCCATACTGCAAAAATGATTTTACCAGCAATGGCGGGGCGACATCTCTCGACTTTTCGGTGTAACTACCACACAAATGATGTAATTAATTGTATTCATCTATATTAAAAATATCAAATAGTAATGAACTCGTGCACTTTTTTGCATTTAAAACTGCTTATCAGGAAGATAATAAATAGAAACTAAAATCTCCATACATTTTCAAACGGCTTCATATCACTCTTATAAATAAGTACGGACGATATCACAAATGGCGCAATTATATCCCGTATGGTTAGTACGATAGCTCGAATAGGTGGTTAAGCACTTTTTATGGTTATTTTGTATGCACTGTATTTGTAAAACAACAAAACATGATTAATTAAGAAAAAAATCGTCAATACAGAAAATACAGATTTTTTAATAGAGTGGATACAGATTTTTTATAAAACCACCTGGCAGCTCTGGTCATGAGAATGAATCTTATTACGAGGAAACGTTAAAAAAATAACCCTCATAATTTATGACTTTCATTCATTCAAAATGCAATATCTCAGGAACTACGCAAATTACTTTTTGTCGTTGAGTGTTTCTGATGTAAAAAAGGATGAAGAACACGATGGTGTCCTTAAAATGAAAATTAAACGACATGTATTATAAGAAAACTGCATTTAAAGTTTTCAAACAAAAATAAAAAAATATTTGGCAACACTGTACAGAAACAAACGTTACAAATTTAGATTTCTTGGCTAATTTCATTATTAAAACAATACCTAATGCAATTTGTAGCTTTATTTGTTCCGGAGATATGAACAAAAGAAAGTAGTGGTTTCTAAAAAATAATGAAAAATGAAAAATGTACCCCTTGATCGAGGGGTGCTACGATCAGCATACAACTTTGGAATTTTAAAATTCGAACTTAAATGAACATTCCCCCCAAATTTGGTTCAAATCGGAAGAGGTCAATTTCACTTTTGCAATTTTTTGTGACCACTTGGCGCGGAATGACCCATATCGAATAACATGTAACAACTCTCTAATCTGAACAAGGCATAAAACTAAAAGCAATGAAAAAAGTATAGATCACCTACCCTCTAGCATGTCAATCGTTGCGCACAGTCCAGTTTGGACCGTAGTTCCTCCATTTTCCTGCGGTTCTTCACTGAAAATTTAGCAAATGGCGTACACGGATAGAAATCTCCTTATACCTTTTGGCAAATTTATATTGCTGATTATTCATAAAATGTATAAGTCAACTAATAAGCAGACGCCTTGCAAAAAGTTAATGAAGATCATGTTTCAAATGAAATGTATAAGCGGTCACACATACCTTTTATGCATTCTTATAGGACCTATGTGGTTTGTCTTATGGAATGTATAAGGCTGATATTTCGGCAAAAATGTATAAGTGAAATACATAAATAAAATAATTGATTTTCGTTTCGTGTACGTCAACAAAGCAGGATGCAGCAAAGTTTGAAGTTTTTTTACCCATTACTGAGTATAAAAATACACATTTTTTAACTGGTACTACACTGAAACAAAGACCATAGTTGGGCATACTATTTTGCAGAAAACACTTATTTTCAGTATTACCATAGAGGTAACTCTAAGACCACTGGGTTCCGAAGAAAATCATTATTATTTTTGGCTCACTCAGTACCAGAACAACGGTCCCAAGCAGTCCCAAGCTATTTCACTCACCCCTGATATTATCTGTCAAACTTTCATAGCGAATCAAAACAAACATAGTGTAGTAATAGAATTTCAACTAGAATAGGGTACGTTAATCGTTTGCTTGGGACCAATAGGCTACTAAAGTGGTGAGCCAAAATCGTTAGTTTCGTATTGATTGTTGGTATTACTGTGCTTAATGCCGTTAAATCTACCATAATTTCAGTATAGCTGACTATAAATATAAACAAATTTAATACCACTCTGTCAAAACTACTATGCTTACTCAAACGGCATAGTAGTTTTGATAGAAAAATAAGTAAAATTAAATGAATTTCGTTTCTGCACAAATCTATTGGTGCGAGTATTTAATTTAAACCATCAATATAGTAATTTTTCCAATGGATTTTGTTTCTGTGTACATTCTTAAAATGTGTATTTATTTACCCATTTGAGGACCTCGAAATTTACACATTTTTTGACAGTTGCATATAAATATAAAAAATGTGTATTTTTTACTCATTTATGTGTTTACGCTGGTTACCGTGCATAGAGATGAATTCAGTACCAACATTTCAAAGGGGCGTAATTGCTTTTGTAAACAATGGCTTGAGCTATCGATTTCTCGCAAATAAAAGCCCAACCCTTCAAATTAACAATGCTAGCTGGTAAAGGAAACATTCATCTACCTGCTGGTGTCTTTAATCTTGATGAGTATACTTTTATTCGCGAGAAATCGATGGCTAAAGTCATTGTTTACAAATGAAATTACGCCCTTTTGAAATGTTGACACTGAATTGTATTTAATAAATTTAGCAACACATTCCTTTGTTTTTCTTTTGCATAGTTTGACGTTATGTAACTGCGTTCGAGAGCCGCTATACGTCAAAAACTCATGCTTTTCAGAATAAAATAACGTAACACGGGTGATCGCCGGAATAATTTTTTCGCTGTTATTTGAATTTTTCTGATCGGATTTTCCAAAATGATGCAACTTCGTACCATTGCTAGTTTATCGCGCAACAGTTTCCGCAGGATCTCTACCGCAATCAACGTACGAAATGCAGAAGCCGCATTGGCATCCGTCGCTGACAAACTAACCATCCCGGTACCTGAAGGTGCTGACAAACCTGTAAATCCTAAACTGATTTCCATCGTGGACAGCATCGCTACTCTGAATTTGCTGGAGGTCTCCGAACTAAGTGGACTGCTAAAAAAGAAGCTTAACCTTCCTGATGCTGCCATGATGCCTGCTGGATTCGGCGCCGGTTTTGCGGCTCCTGCAGCTGCTCCAGCTGACGAGGAGGAAGCGGCTCCCAAAGTGGTGAAGACCACCTTCAAAGTTAAACTGGTGAAATTCGACGATAAACAAAAGGTTGCACTTATCAAAGAAGTCAAGAACCTGCTGGAAGGCATGAATCTGGTACAGGCGAAAAAGTTCGTAGAAAGCGCACCGACGATGGTTAAGGAAGATATTCCTAAGGAGGAAGCCGAGAAGCTGAAGGAAGCGTTCACCAAAGTTGGGGCCGTTATTGAGATAGAGTAAAATGTTCTGGGTGGATTTATGTTTTAAGAAAGTAGTTCAATAAATTTAAAAAAAAAGATTGTTGCTTTTGCCAATGTTTTCTTCTTTGTCCTGTTAAAGGGTCCATCCACCAGGATCCACTGTTTGACTAAATAAATTACAATTGCAATTTTTACCCTTTTAACTAGACTTGGCTTCATGCCCTGTTCACACTAAAATCTTGGTAATACGTTGTACACCCATGTTCTCGTTTTCGTTCGAATCGTTTTTCAATAAAAAAAAAATATTAGAAAAATTACGCTTCGAATAAAATAAGAATATGGCTGTTCCATTTTAAAATACCTAGATAACTAACACTGTTTTAAATGAATTAATGTTTCTGAACTAATGCAATTTTGCTAGAAGCATCTCTTGAAAGAGAAAATCCTGCAAATGGCGTCCATTTTCAATTGTAATCATTGTTGCGGGAGTCTATCGACTAAAACGTAGCCATCATACATGCCTACCGTTCTGAATCATAAGGGCCTAACTGCGATGATCGATTTTCTCTTTTGTTAAAATCTCGGCTAGATTAACTTAAATGAAATTTTCTCGATACGCTTGATGTTGATTTTGATAGCTAAAACACAGTTAGATCTTTATGATTCCGAAAGCTATATGTATACCTCATCAAGAATGTTATGACCATTTTCGTATTTTAATAAAATAATGAAACATTTATATACCCAGTTTTATATTGAATTATTCGACCTTATCCTCTAGGAATGCAACTGGCTTTCAGAACTTGATCCATTCTTACAAGCAGTTGGCCATCAGCGGAGCTAGATTTTCAAAATCAATCTTCTCAGTAATGTGCTTCGTCTTGATGTTGCCCTCCTGTACAGCCACCGTAATGTACTGACCGTCTTCCTTCCAGTTATTCTTCTTAACCCAAGAACGCAAAACGTTATCTAAAACAATAGAATGCAAATTTCAATGTTAAATTTCCCGAATAGATAAAATATCATACCATCAACGTCTCCCAGAAGCCGCACCAAATATTGTTTCTCGATGGATTGGAACGTAATGCCGACGACGTGACAGACAAACTTCCGGATGGAATCGTAAAAGCCGCTGATCTTCTTGAAAAATACCGGGTTCTTCGTGACGCGAGACCAGAACAAGGTAAAATCGCACTTCTCCAGAATATCAGCCAAGTAGATGATTTCCTTGACTGTATCGTCGTTCATTTGGGCCGGAAGTAGCAAGCATTTGCACAAAACAAAATCCGTATGTGGGAAGTTGGTCAATGCTTTCAGCAGAATAACGTAAGTGACATCCAAGTTCATCATCTGTGGATTGAACTGATACAGCTTCAAACAAGCCAGATTGGCTTCCAGATCATATTGATTGTCGCGGGCTTGCTCCTCGACATAGGTTTCGATCACTTTCAAATGCTCCGGGTTGTAACTGGAAAAAGGAGTACGTAAACAATCCACATTAGAGGTTAGGGATCCTTGTCTCAAAAAATGCACGCAAAATTAATAGAAAATTAGCTTACCGTTCGATGCTCTTTAGCATTTCCTGAATCGGCATAACTTTGCCGTCTTCCATTTTCACGTAATGGACCATTGTCTGCCGGAAAACAAGCCAAATTCGCAACCGAAATGCGAAAACCGAGGTGGAAACCTCCACGACAAAACTGCAGACAAAAAGAAGGACCACAAATTTTTGACAGTTTTGATATGCACGCTATTTCAAAACTACCCAAATTTGGATAGAATCCATTCAGATCTGTCAAAACTGAACCTACTCAAAAAAGGGTAAACTATGTTGGGAGTGACAACGTCAATCGGATTCATGCAAGCCCGCATAAACGCGAACCATCACATGACCTTACCGATAATGGTTATAAATTGTTTATAATCCCTGCTAAACTTCAACTGAAATGGTTATGGAACCTTACATGAACGTTTGTGTGATAAAGTTTTAACCTTATGTGTTATGGTTTTTTGGAAGCGGACCTTACAAATAATGGGTTGTTAAGAACCATTACCATTCCAATTTCTCCATACATTTTCGGAAAGAGAACTATATTAGAACGTTTTTACTTATGGTTTGAGAACATTAATGGTTATGGTTATGGTAGTCAGTAAGGTCCATTAATGGTTTTGTATTATCACTCAACTTTACGTGAAATATATCGTGAATTGGTAATCAGTAATTTACAGGCAACCCTAATAAAAATTGTATGGTTAATTTGCTTAACGACGTGTTCTGGGTATCATCCAAACCATTTGTGGAATAGTTCAATGATTTGGTTTATCGTTCGTTTATGGTTATTTTTTATTAGGGAACCAATTCGCGATAGATTCCACATAAAGTTGATCGATGTTACAAAACCATTCATGGACATTACTGGTTACCATAACCATTACCATTAATGTTCTTAAACCATAAGTTAAAAGGTTTTAGTAAAGTTTTCTTTCCGAAAATGTATGTAGAAAACAAGAATTTTGAATGGTAATGGTTCTTAACAACCCATTATTTGTAAGGTCCACTTCCAAAAAACTATAATACTTAAGGTTAAAACTTTATCATTAAACGTTCATGCACAGACAAACAGACATAACACTCACAAGTTGTTCATGGAGCGAGCATTGAAAGGTCAATTTAAAAGTATCATAGTTGGTATACACAAAGAACAAAAATGGTTGTTATAAAAATAATGCAATTTCAATTTAAAAGTTTCGCCAAATTCGTAGTTTCAACTGCGAAAATATTCAAAATGAAAGTTGATTTTTTGATTTAAAAATGTTTCTTTCAATTTCGACTTGTAATAATAAAAGTGCATTTTTTTTAAATAAAAGTTGTAGTACTTTCAAAAATATTTCTTCAGAGCAAAGTTTTTGGCAACACTGGACTTCTGTTTACCGCCACTTTCGACTAAAAACAAGCAGATTCCCACACTTTACTTTCACCGGTTTCTCCCAGCCCCCGGAATCGCGTTTCTGGCATGCCTCCGCTAGCTTATTTTCGACGGATTGGAGGCAATTCGAGAGGCAATTATCACGGCAGACGGAGGGAAACAATCCAAGCAATCCAGGAGGAAATCATCAAGGTGAGAAGTTTTGGAAATGGTTTTCATTCGTTTTACTTTTGCAGTACCGTAACCAGAATGCTGCTTCCGAAGACGGTTCGTATCAGTTCTGATCCTCCTAGAAGCTCTCGATGGATTTGCTGACAAATATAACGGAGTTTAACGGATACCGGGCATCGGAATGGATTCAGAATCTAGTAATCATGCATTAATTTATTTCAAGAGTTTGTTTTAAACATGTTTATAATTTTCAGTGGAACCGATCATCTTCTCATTCCTGAAAATGACGAGCACTCACCTCAGTAGAATGTTCTACCAAATATTCCTCGCTTAAGGCTGTTGCGATGCTACTGATGCGATTGATGTCACACCAAATGCCCGTTACTGATTCCGTTACACCATCCTCAATGTCTGTTCCGGTGTTCCCCTCATGTGGATCGGAGCAGTAAAAATGGCGTGAACAAGTTGAGCATCAGCTCATCTTGGTATCGGGAAGAGAAGACATACCTAATGAATTTATTTTTATTGTTATATCGAGTAAATACATTTTTTATTAAAATTTTATATTTTTACTTCTTTACCAATCAAATTTTAATAGATTTTGAAATGAAAAACGATGTTATTAAATTGAAAACGTTTTTTTTTTAAACTGAAAACGTTTATTTTTAACAATAATAATGCAACATTTAATTTCAAAAGGTTGAAAATAATTCGGTTTTAATTTTAACACTGTCATGCTTTTCATTTGACATTAGTACAATTCAGTTTGAAAGTTGAAACTTTTAAAAGTAGTGATCGGGAAACTTTTGATTTGATAATCTATTGACTTTCATTTTGAAAGCTAACCGCTTTCTACCAAAAAGAACCAATGCAAACTTTTATTTCTACTAATGGTTTTTTTAATTTTAGCAACGATTTTTCTTTGTGTGTAGTACCACCACCTGTGGCGCGCATAGTCAATTCTCTTGCGTTTGACGTTTACACACTACCGCCATCTGTTCAGCGTACTACCCACCACAGTGTACTCAACAGATGACGGTAATGTTTTTGCGACGATGTTTTACGGTGAGAAATATTCAATGTGTTATGTCTGTTTGTCTGTGGTTCATGTAAAGTTCCATAACCATTTCAGTTGAAGTTTAGCAGGGATTATAAACAATTTTTAACCATTATCGGTAAGGTAAATTTATGGTTTGCGCTTATGCGGGAGGGGGGAGGTGGCTGTCAAATACGAACAATCGTCGCCTACCTCGGATAACTGGTTCCAAACGTAAACAAGCCATAAGAAACCTTCAGCGTTTGTTTACGTTTGGAACCAGTTTCATACAAGATGATCAGTAGGCTGATTTGACAGCACGTCCCCCCCCAGGATTCATGTCGATGTTGTTCATGCCAAGGTGACTACATATAGGTGTTCTAATGTGTCAAATTCATGATTCAGCCATGTTCGATTTTTGTATGGGACAGCGACCGAGTGTTTTTTACAATCTGCTCTAAAACCGCACTTCCCCCCCGCGACCTCCTCGCCTATATAGTGACAAAGCTGTATCACCATTTATATACCGACTGACTGATGACAGTTTAGTGGTACTGTTTACGTGGACTTAGTCGATTTTTTCTTGGGTGGATTTTCTCGATAATTTTTCAGACTGCAGTGAGATGTAAACTAGGGGAAGGACAGGTCCAAGTATCAGCATCAATATTGATGGTGGAAATATTAAATATTTTAATATGTGTAATATTTGCGAATCTTATACTTAGTCTGACAGTTGTTTTGTTTTGTTTTTGACTATTTTTGGTTTGAAGAGTACATTTGACATTCGTTTAATAAAAAATGGATTTCACACCAGATGCAAGTCATTCTTTGATGATCTTGCTGGCCACCGCCACCAAAATCCGCTCCTTGTTCTAAAAAATTCGACATTATTTGTTAGCTGATCTCAGTGCAAATAATCGGTCGCACTTCTGTCCCAGAAAATAGTCATTAATTTCCACGAATTCTTCATCGTCTGCAAACCAATGTGCTGTCCTCCGATGGAACGGAAATCGACTGACTACGCCTCCCCTGTAAACGGAGTCCCAGAGTGATGGGTCCGTGGTCGTATTACACTCGATTTGCCATGAGCCTGCAACTGGCAAAATTTGCTGCTGGGGGAACGTCCAGTACCATTTTTATCATGAAAAGTCGAAGTCGAAATCGATCAGAGCTATCGAAAACGAAAATCTAGGCAAAAATGAAAGCTGCAGTAAACATAAACAACAACGGTGAAACGTCATTGAGTGTATGCGTTAAAGTTACACTGTTATTTTTTTACTTTGAAGCTGTCCGCTTGACAGTTAATATCATTAATATTTACCATTACCATAATTACCAATTTGAGCAATTTTTACACCAAATATTACTGCAGATCAAGTTGTACTTCCCCTAGGATGTAAACCACATTTCTGCAATGTTCACGAGCAACATCCTTGCAATGCACTGTTCCTCGACAATTTTCAAGTTAAAATTCGGAAATTTCAGAATTTTTTTTTCGAAAAAACGACTAAGTGCTTGTAAACAATACCACTGAACTGTCAAAAAGGTTCAGCCGATTAACACTGAGTTCATTCGTGACGTCACGCTGCAGTACCTAATTAGGTTTTGCACCGTCGGGGTTAACCTCAATCTGATGACAGTTCAGTCAACCGGTGAACACTCGTGTTTATTTCAGTTACCGTGGGGATGTATTTTGTGATTAGCCCCGGTCCCTTTCAAATTGTATCATTATTTATGTACGGTGCTTATATTTGAAATGACGTTTCACATTCATCTAGTGATGGCCGATTTTCATTCGAATAATTGATTAATCGATTAACGAACCGAAAAGTAAAATATTTGCAATCGGTTATATCATGCCGATATAAGCATTAACATCTCCAGAGAATCATCACCAATCGTTTCAAACATGTGCTGCACTCTCATTGGTGGAAAAATGGATGCACAGCGAACAAAAATCGATTAGTTGTTAATCGAAGAGTTAAAAAATGGGACATCTCTGATTTTGGTGTGTTTGTTTTGATAAAAATGAGCGCAAAATTTCATCTCTACCGAGGGGGCAGCAAAACCACAAAATTACCTTGAAAACGGGGGGTATTCATTGGATGAAAGGGACCGTGAAAGAGGACACTAAAATAGAAAGTTTTTCCTCCGACGGTTTCATCTTAGTATTCATCTTTGGTTCAGTGGTACCACAAACGAAGTGACAGACGACTAACTGGCGAAGAAATCCATTAAAATAATGTGGTTCACTGTAATAGAATTTTCTTGGAAGCTTGTGCCATCATCCACCAGATGGTTTAGTTTTTTTGTTTTGATTTGAACAAAGTTGATTTTGTGTACAATGATTCTTTGACAGTGTGCAAAGAGTGTATCATTTTGTCATTTTTTTATGCATTTCAGTTTTGAGTAGAGTGAAAGAGATAGAACCAAAACATTCTAATACATTTGGTGAAATTGCTAGTACAATCCAGTAGTAGTGTTGCCATGTGGTACAATCCAGTAGTAGTGGTGTTGTCATGTGGTACACTGAAAAATTGAAATAGCAGGTTAGTCACCAAAGTTTTCGAGCCGCTCCGTCTGT